ACCGAGGCCCCAGAGGGTGTCCGAGGTTTCGCCTGCCTTGCACGCTGGTTAGGGAGGCAGAGCCCAGACTTACCAGGCTTCCCCCAAACTTTCGTTTTGTTTTGTTTTGTTGTTTTTTTAAAGAAGTAGGAAGGATGAGAAGCTTGGGGAAATCAGAAATTAAAAAGAAAAAGGGAAAAAAGGAAAATTTGGAAAAAAGTCCTTAACTGCAATCATTTTGTTATCAGTAGCATCTTGGGCTGTAGGAACGAGATCTTGATCGTGATCTGTATCGGCTGTAGTGAGAAGGTAATCTGTACCAGTAATTATAGTCTTCATATCTGTCATATCCATGATCATATCCTCTATCTTAGTAAGATTGTCAAAATCTGCCACGACTTCCTCCTCCAGCACTGCCACCACCACTATGAGTTGGTCTGCTCATGTAGATGCCTGTGCTCTCTATGTTGATAGAATAATTCACATGAATTCTTCTACCATCCAGCTCCATTCCATTTGCCCTTTTCCATAGCCTTTTTTGAGCCATCTGTTGTTTCAAAATACACAAAAGCAGATCCTCTAGACTGCCCAGTTCGCCGATCATAAACCATTAACACCACTCAATGGTCCATGTCAAGAAAATATTTCACAAAGATCTGTACAGACTGAGGTCAAACACTCCAAGCTCTGGATTCGCTTCCTGTATGTCTTCTCTGGTTAGATGTTGGCAAGTGACTTTAGCTCCTTTCCCTCCAGTATTCTGGTATTTATGAGAGTTAGTTCAAGAGCATCTTCTATGAGAGTCAGAGTGGTATCTAGATCGAATGTAATGTCCATGAGAATGTCTCCTTGATCTCGATTGGGATTTGGATCTTGATGGGATTTGGAGTGTTTGGAAACCCTTGGTGGACCACGAGATCCTGACCTGCTCGCCAGTTTTACACGAGCAGGAGTTCCATTTGGAGATTTTGACTGAGAGCTATACTCTTTGCCCTTGAAGTTGTTGTCCTCTGCTTCACTCATGTCTGCCAGGCACTCCCTAGAACTAATTAAGTCTTGGTGTGAGGACTGACAACCTAATCACCTCATTGACCAGATGGACCTTGGAGAGCAGGAAAAAGTTGGCAACAATGACCGCTCCATTCCCATCCCACTCTGTCACAGGCTCAGTCAAAATGGTGCCAGTGCTGCCTGAAACCCTGTCCATGGCTATTTGTTTATGTGTAGAGCAGAATATTAATGCTGCTAAACTGATAAAGATTTGAACCCTAATAGGATATTTAGCTTTCTTTTTATCTGTGACCATAAATGTTAACAGGACAGAATGAGGAAATTATGAATTGAGATCTATTACTACTACTAGTAAAATAGTCCAAAGCATGTGCCAAACAATGGAGTTAATGTCATCTTGATGTATTTATTTTTTGCCCTGCAATTATTTTTTTGAGATGAACTTTATATAACAGAATTAACCATTTTAAAGTGAGCAATTCAGTGACATTTGATACATTCACATTGTTGTATAATCTCTACATAAAAATTTTCATCACCCTAAAAGGAAACTGTATTACCATATTTCTTTCTCTCTAGCTGTGGCTATTTCCAATCCACTTTCTGCCTCTATGGGTTTACTTATTCTGGATATTTCATATCACTGGAACCATACAATATGTAACATTTTGTGTGTGGCTTTCACTCAGAGTTCATCCATGTTGTAGCATGTATTAATACTTCATTCTTTTTATGACTAATATTCCATTTTATATATATATACCACACTTTGTTTATCTGTCCATCTATTGGTGACCATTTGAGTTGTTTCCGTCTTTTGGTTATTGTGAATGATGCTGCTGTGAACATGTATTTAGATGGATTTGTTTTGAGTACATGTTTAACGTTCTGAGGAACCACCAAACTCTTTTCTATGGCTATTATACTGTTTTCCACTTCCAACAGCAATTTTATGAGGATTCTGTTTTCTGTGTGTTCTTTCCAACCCTTGTTATTTTCCATGTCTTTTTAAAATTATATCCATCTAAGTGGGTGTAAGATATCTGGTTATTGTTTTCATTTGCATTTTCCTAATAACTAACCACTTAAGCAACTTTCTATGAACTTGGTGTTTTGTGTAAGTACTTTGGACAAATGTCTATCCAAATCTTTTGCTCATCATTGCTCTGGTGGTTTTTTGTTTGTTTTGAGATAAGGTCTTGCTAAGTTGCTCAGGCTCAACTAGAACTTACGATCCTCCTTTCTCAGCTCCCAAAGTAATAAGGTTACGGGTTTACATGACCATATCTAGCTATTGCTTATGTTTTAATTGGATTGTCTTTTGATTAAATTGTAAGGATTTTTATGTAGTCAATATAGAAGACTCTAATCAGATACATGATTTGTAAATTTTATTCTCCTGTTCTATAGATTGTCTTTTTACTTTCTTGATTCAGTCCATTGTCTATAAAAGCTTTTAATTTCATTAAAGCTCAGTTATCTTACTTTTGTTGTTCTCATTGTTGTACATACTTCTGGTGCATAACTATCCATTGCCAAATTGAAGATTGTGAAGATTTATTTTTACTTTTTTTTTCTAGGAGTTTTATGGTTTTAGTTTTATATGTTAATATCATCAATCAGTTTTTGAATTGATTTTTTTCATATCATGTGAGATTAGGAATCCAACGTCAACTTTTTGTGTATGGACATTCAGTTGTCCCAGCAGTATGTTTTGAAGGGAATAGTTTTCTTACTGAATAGTCTTGGCATGCTTGTTGAAAATTAACTCACTACTGTAAGTGTATATTTCCGAACTTGTGATTCTATTCCATTTACCTATGTGTATTTTTATGCTTTTATGATTATTGTAACATCGGACTAAGTTTTAAAACTGTGAAATATACAAGCCTAAATATATTAGGCATGATGGCACATGCCTATAATCCTAGCATTCTGGGAAGCTGATGCTGAGGGAGCACTGGTTCAGTCCAGTTTGGGCAACTTGTTAAGATTCTGACTGAAAATAAATGATAAAAAACAAAAAAACTGTGGATGTTTCTCAGTGTAAAGGCCATAGGTTCAATCCCCAGTACCACCACTGTCACCACCACCACCACACACACAGTATAAGTCCTACAGTTATGTTCTCTTTTATTACTGTTTTGACCATTTGGAACCTTTTGTAATCCCATATGAATTTAAAGGTCAACTTTTCCAATTCTTCTGAGTCATTAATCAAGTCATGTCACTTACATGAAACCTTCCACTGGCTTGTACATCAGAGTAAAAGCCTAAATTTTGACAAAGCCCTGTCTGCTTTGCTATTGGCCAGCTCATCTACTTTATGTCTTGTTCATTTCAATCATAGTGACCTTGAGCTTCTATCATAAGCCCTTTGTATTTCCCCTTTATCTGCAGGCCTATTCCTCTAAATATCCCAATGGTTTATACTGTTTCCGTAAGATCTCTGCAGATGTCATCTCGTGTGACTCTTCCCTGACCACACTACCAAAATTAGCACATAGCACATCATTCTTTATCTCATTACAGTACTTTTTTTCTTGATACATTTTATCACTATCTCACATTATACAATAGTAAGCTGAAGGTAAGTATTTTGTCTTTTATTCATTACTAAATCTCCAGCTCTTACAATGCTATTGGGTATAATGGACATCTAATAAGTATTTGTTGAATAAATGAAATTTTTTCAAGTAAAACAAACTAATATATACTACATACCCATAATGGGACAGACACTCATTTAGTCACTTGATATATGTTGTTTATATTTTATCTTCTTTACATATTTAAGAGAATAGATATCCTCATTGATCAAGGAAACTGAGACTTTGAAAAATTAAATAACTTGCCCTATAAGTTAAATAATTTGACACCCAACCTATAGTACTTGATTCCAAAGCAAAGGCTTTCTCTGTATTACTTTGAATTATTAAGTGTTCTTTGTGGTGTAAAGGTTACAGAGATAAAGAATAAATAGTTAAGTCAGTGTATACATTGAGACAGTGCAAGACCACTTTTGGTATAGGGAAAACATAAACAAATGTGAAAAGCAAACTCAAAAGGATAATAAAATTCATTAGAAGGGGCTGGGGATTTAGCTCAGCGGCAAAAGCGCCTGCCTGGCAAGCGCAAGGTCGTGAGTTTGGTTCCCGGTACCGGAGAAAAACCAAAAAAAAAAAAAAAAAAAAAAATTCATTAGAGACTGAGAAGTGATGTTTAGGGGCACTGTGAGACAAGTTTGAGAAAAGTGAGTTAGAGCGTAGATTGTGAAGAACTTGAGTTTGCACATCTAGTTAGTTGAACATTACAGCTGTAGTACTAAATATTTATATGGGTATATGATCAATACAGTGCTTAGTAAGTGTGAACTTTGGAGCAAAACTGTCAGGATTCAAGTCCTGGCTCTGCCATATATTAGTTGAATAATGTTTAACCTCTGCTGTAAGTTCCTCCTTAACCAAAATGAAGGTAATAGTTTTTAACTCAGAAAACAATTGTGATGATTAAATGAATTACGCATAAAAACACTGAAAACATTATTTAGTGCATAGTAACCATCTTATAAATATTGTGTTGACATTTAGATTTTCGTATCGGTGTCATGTGTTCTAGTTCTTTTAAACTTTACGACAACTCTGTGAGGTAGATATTACTGTATTAGTTTAATGGTAGAGAAGAGAAAGCCACAGAGATGATAACATGCCACAAATCCTCAGCTGACAAAACTGATCTTAGTTCTAAACCATTGCCTTACTGTAATCCTAGAAACTAATAGAATGATGACATATCACACTAAAAGCCAAGTTTGGGGAAATTTATCTAATGGCATTCTATAGACTAAAATGAAGGGAAAGAAACTGGAGACAAGTTTATTGGGCCCCTGAAATAATCTCTAGATTTTTCTCATGACAAATTCCTGTGCCAGGGCTGTGTCTTTGAATGAAAAATAGTGAAAAGAGACATTATGGATTTTATAACTAACCAGGAAATTAATGTTCTTTCAGCTGTATTTAAACTTGAAACAGATAGAAGTATATGGCCCCTGATAAGAATCTATCGGGGTGGCTTTCTTCTGATTGAATTCCTTTTTCTGCTGGGCATCAACACATATGGCTGGAGACAGGCTGGAGTAAATCATGTACTCATCTTTGAACTTAATCCGAGAAGCAATTTGTCTCATCAGCATCTCTTTGAGGTAAAGCAAGACATACATTCCCATGAACTAGCTATATAGCTAATGTATTGGGTGCTGAAATCCATCCACTTAAAAAGGATTATTGACTTAATTACTAATTATTAATTACTAATTACTAACTTTTTTACCTTAGTTTATTAAAATTACTTCTGACTACTGGTAAAAATTAAAATAATTTTCTTTTTTTTGTCTTCCTTGTCCTTTACCAGATTGCTGGATTCCTGGGGATACTGTGGTGCCTGAGCCTTCTGGCATGCTTCTTTGCTCCAATTAGTGTCATCCCCACATATGTGTATCCACTTGTCCTTTATGGATTTATGGCTTTTTTTCTTATCAACCCCACGAAAACTTTCTATTATAAATCCCGATTTTGGCTGCTTAAATTGCTGGTAAGTCCAGAAACTTGTGTAGCGTTTTCAGAGTAGAATATCAGTACTGGCTTCCTCTGAGATAAAACCAAGGCTGCTGGGTTGTACAACTGCAGAAGCACACCATTCACATTATTTTTGTGTGAGTTATACTCCAACATCAGGGGCAGAGAAGGCATGTGACAGATGTCCCGAAAGTTGTACAGTGTAGTATTACTGGGAAAAGCACTCATGCATTTTTTTTCCTCCTAAAATGAAGTATAAAATGACCAGATACTGAAATGATTTTGCAAATTTCAACCATTTATTTTTTCGTTATACAACTGTAGTAACATAGAACTTTGTAAATTTCCTTCTTAAAAAAGTGGAAAAACTATTGACTTTCCTGTTAAATTTATGTGAATGGTTAACCAAATACTTTCTTTTAGGAAAGATTGGTTTTCTAACACTGGTAGTAATATATTGCCAGATCACCGAGTTTAATTTAAGAAATTAACTTTGATTATTGAATTCCATTTCTTCCATTTTACCCGTTTCTTAATCTCAAAAGCAATCAGTTTCAACAGTAGGACATAGCATTTCTTACAGAGATGATAGCTGTGTTTTTGTAATATTGTAGAGGAGAGGTCTTACTCCTAAATTAGGCTAGATCTATTTTGAAATTCGATTAAAGATACTTAATATCAGCCAGATGTTGTGGCACATGCTACAGCTTCTCACGAGGCTGGAATAGGAGGATTGCAAATTCAGGGATAGCCTGGGCAACTTAGTAAGACTGTGTCCCAAAATAAAAGAAAAAGAGAGGTAAAGAGATAGGTCAGTGATAGAGACCTTGCCTAGCATGTATGAGCAGGCTTGGGTACAATCACCAGTACTGCTAAAAAATAAAAAGTTGAATGGTTTCATATAATTACTTCTTAGATTGCCGGGGCTGGGGGTTTAGCTCAGTGGCACAGCGCCTGCCTGGCAAGCACAATGTCGTGAGTTCAATCCCTGGTACCGGGGGAAAAAAACAAACAAACAAAAAAAAAACACAACTTCTTAGATTGCCATAATTATTTCCTTTATTCTTTTTATTAAAAAGTATAAAATGTAACTCCTTGACAAATGTAGTTTTTTTTTCTTTTACTTTGTATATGTTCCTTGGGGGTCAGCAGAATTTTTGTTGTTTTTAACAATATGTGATTTTTTAAAATTTGAATACATAAAGCATTACTTTTCTTCATATTTTTATTTTTTAAGAAGGCAGATACAGTGTTACTTCAATTGTTGAACTCAATTCATTCCAAATTTGTGTTTGAACACAAAAAAATTCAAGAACTAAACATATTTTTCCCATAAAAAATAATGGAAAACAAAATAATTGGTTCTGACACCCAAAAATTACACTTATAAATTTATTTTTCCAGGACCTTAACAAATTTCATAACTATTTCTTTCTTTAACTCTATGGTTGTTCTCACAGTTTTCTGTTGGCTTTACTGCTGGTATCACAAACTTTCTTTGGAGATATGTTTACAATATTTTATGCACATAAAGCTATCAGAAAAAGCACAGTGACAGATGTCTTAACATCCTTACACAATCACTGTATGTTGTCTGGGCAAGAGTGACACTTACACTGAAGTGTCACCCCTTTGTGTCCGCGTGACTCGCTCTTGACTGATAACAGGTTTTTTTCAAGTTGGATTTTTGGTTTGACTGTCAAGGAAAGTTACGAACACAAAGCAAACATTTTTTAAATTTTGCTGTTTAAGTAGTAGAAAGTTCAAGCTTGGAGCCACTTGACAACCAAGGTATCACTGTAAGTGTTTATATCAATTGGGAAAATAAAAATGGCTCAAATATTCTTGAATTTTCTTTTCCAAAGTTAGTAAAGTTTTGAACTTTGTGTTTCTCGTGAGAATTTCACCTTATACCAAGAATTTTGGTACAAACTGTGATTCTCTTTCCTTCCAATTAATTTCAAGAGGGGCGCAAAAAGCTTAAGTATGACACCACTAGGTTTAACTTAGCATTTGATTTGTGAGTGTAGAACTTACATGTACAAGAGTATTTTGATTAGTCATAAGGACACTGTCACCACCAATGCATTTTGTTCTCACCTAAGGAACGTACTTTTTGTTTTTGACAATGGAGAAAACTTTGAGCAATATGTAGTGGCACACACCTGTAATCCCAGAACCCTGGGGCCTGAGACAAGAGGTTCACGGAGTTCTAGGCCATCCTGGGCTACATAGTGAGTTTAGGGCTAGCCTGAATTGCATAGTAAGATCCTGTCTCGAAAAATAAATAAATTAATAAAATGAAATGAACAAAAGAAAAAAGAGAAATTAGAGTAGTGGATCTCTTGAGGACTATAGTAAAAAAAAGTCGTTGCCAGTTAATATTAGATTGCCTTTCTTATTGGAAATTATCTGTCATTTTATTGCTACTGTAGAATTTTTCAACTGTTATTTGCATAAAAGATTAGCATTCTTGTCACTGGAAAATACATTTAAAGTACTATATATTTAAACTCCTATTGTTTTCTGCCTCCATGTGAAATCTCATGAAATTATTTTCAAATGAGATTTTAGAAAACTCAGAAAACTCAGGTGGTACTGCATTTGCATCACTGCAATAACAATACAATATAATTGTGTACATTGTGTGCTAAGTGAGCATTTCCCCAGTGCCTCCTTCTTTGTTTAAATAGCAAGCTGTGGTTCATGCATGACCAGTTACTCTTATTAGCAGAAGGATTCCCCATTGAGTAGTCATTTATCTGTGCATCTGCTTTATGTTTGTTAATAAATGAGAATTTGTTGATGGAATAGGTTGACTGTAGTGATAAAAGAATAACAGAAGAATAAAATACATTATCCAAAGCAGTTAAATATGGAAGGAAGAATTGTGATTAGTTATATTTATAATAATAAACAAGAATGTTATCATATATAGGTCCTTTAATAAAGTTGACCAACTGTTGACTTATTTTAATTCAAATCTCACTCATAAAACTTGTCTTTTGATTTATTTCTAGTGAATTAATAAGAATGTTTTCACTCAATTTACATTTCTCTGAAACCACTTATTAAAGCCTTTTCTGAAAATAAAGCTTGCTTGCTTGCTTTCTTTCCAATTTTTCCGTGGGAGAAATACTTCATTTGGCCATAATGATACCAGTAGATACTCTTTACATTCGTATTTATATTGGAATCTGCAGAATTGATATATGCTACCCATCTCTCCTTTTAAAAAAGCTGAAAAAACTAAGATAATGACTTATTTTGGTATTAACATTATATGTCAAATTTAGTACAACTTATTTACATCCATTAGATCATGTCATATATCCTTTTCCTTAACTCTTCACTGTTTGTCCCAATAAGAAATCCAATTAGAAAACAAACAGTGCCTCAGATTTTCTAAACAAAAACATATGGGTAACAGAGACCGTGTGTCAAAAAAGGTGGGAAGAGGTGGGATGTTGCTCAGTGACAGACCACTTGCCTAACATGTGCAAAGCCCTGGGTTCCTCTGTGAAGATCAATGTAAAGATTCCTCAAAAAACTAAAGATAGAAATTCCATTCAACCCAGTTATTCCCTCTCTAGGTATCTTCTTGAAAGAGTTAAACACATCGTATTACAGTGATACTTGCTGTACTGCTATTAATAGCTAAATCTTGGAAATGGCCTATATTTATCAACAGATGAATAAAGAAAATATGTTATTTATATACAAGGGAGTACTACTCTTACAAAGAAGGACAAATTTGAGTCATTTGTAGGAAAATGGATGCACCTTGAGACTGTTAGCATGTTTCCACCAGCTTGAACCACCAGCAGTGCATGCATGACTGCTCATGGGAGGGCTTGTACCACCCAGTGGTACAAGCACCCAAAGGTACTGTCATATATGGCCCAGTGAGATAGTCATGCATATACCACCAGTGATTCAGAGCTGTCCAGCAGTGCAACATGAATTATAGCCCCAATGTGAATATGTTAAGTGAAGTCAATCTAACATACAAGCTTAAATATGAGAAATTCAAATTATAAATAAAGAGCACAATGCAAGATAAATAATAGGAAATAGGGAGGTAGATCTTTTGCAGAAAGGAAAGGGACCAAGAGATGTAGAGAGGGTAGGGAAGGGGAATGAAAAAGGAGTTAAGATAGGAGATAGATAGATAGCTCGATAGAGATATATCAACTCTTTATGAAGAATGTAATTAGTTACGTACTATAAACATGTTCTAATTTTAAAAAAGCCTTAGGTCCAGTCCCCAGTATTGCCCCTCCCAAATTAACTTATAGACTTATAGTAGACTAATTACAGTTTTTAACTAAAGCTGTTTGTTGCAGGTTTTTTTTTTTTTTTTAGTCCTTTTTTGAAATAGGGTCTTATTATACAGTTCAGGGTGGCCTGGAACTCACTATGTAGCCCAGACTGGTCTTGAACTTGCAATGATCCTCCTGCCTCAGCCTCCTGAGTTCTAGGATTACAGGCATGTGCCACATGCCCAGCTTGTTATAATTTAGAAATCAATGTTTACCAGTATTTTTATTTCTATAGTAAAATTTCTATGTGTCTCTATGATAAGAGTAGAAAGCTGGAGAAGTAGTTTAGTGGTAGAGCATTTGCCTAGCATGCAGAAGGTGCTAGGTTCCATCTACAACAGTGAAAAAAAAGATGTATTCTTATATATAATGCATTTTATGTGCATTAATTTATTCAACCCCTGAGATTGAAGCTGCTATTAATCTCCATTTAATATATATTCAGAGAAGTTAAAAGACTTGTGTAAGGTCACAGCCAGTTAACCGAGATAGGTATGAACCCAGGCAATCTCACTCTATAAATGCAGTCTTAGCTAACATTTATCCATTACAATGTTTAGTCACTTTATCTGAAATATTTAATTTTAATCTAGTGGATCAAATTAATGAAATCTAAAAATCAGCTTGGGAATGGTACATTTATTCACAAATTTCTAAAAAGTAGAAGTTAAATCTTTATCTTTCCAACAGGTATAGTGAGTGGTACATGCCTGTAGTCGCAGGACTCTGCAAGGCTGAAGCCAGAGGATCACAACTTCAAGCTCCTCAGCCTGGGCAATTTAGCAACACTGTTTAAAAATTTTTAAATTTTGGGGCTGGGGATTTAGCTCAGCGGCAAAAGCGCCTGCCTGGCAAGCGCAAGGTCGTGAGTTCGGTTCCCAGAACCGGAGAAAAACAAAAACAAAAACAAACAAAAAAAAAAATTTAAATTTTTTAAGTGGGGCTGGGGTTGTAGCTCAATGAGAAGGCCTTGAGTTCAGTCCCAGCATGGCAAAAAAGAAAAGAAAACAAAACTTACCTTCTTAGCTCTTTGTCTGTATTAACTTAGAAGATCGTGTTAACATATCCATTGCGCAGTTGAACATTCCTAGTCAGAAAATACAAAATGCTTCAAAGTCCAAAACTTTCAAGGACTGACATTATACCAGTAGTGGAAAATTCCACACTTGACCTCAGTGTAACAGGTCACAATCAGAATGCAGGGACACTAAAAATACTGTGTAAAATTACCTTCATATATACCTGTATATACCTTTATACAGTAAAAATACTGTATAAAATTACCTCTGTATATACCTATATATTACCTTCATATATACCTGTATAAGGTATATATGAAACAAGTGGGGGCTGGGGATTTAGCTCAGCGGCAAAGCGCCTGCCTGGCAAGCGCAAGGTCGTGAGTTCGGTTTCTGGTACCGGAGAAAAACCAAAAAAAAAAGAAACATAAGTGAAATTTATATTTGGATGTGGGCCCTATGTTCAAACTATCTCATGGTATATATACAAATATTCCAAAATCTAAAATATTTCTGGACCTGAAGCATTTTATATAAGGAATATTTATTCTGTAATAACTTTTTAGTGGTGTTTGTAATGTATGTGGTAAGACATTAGATAGTCAGAATTGCTCTAGCTTTCATAGCACTGTTCTAAGAATCTTTATCATTTTAAACAAAATCTTGAAGTAGAGAATTTGAATGGCCTTAGAATAAGAAAAGAATGAGCGGGTAGTTACAAGATTCTTGCCCAAAAGAATTCCAATAAATCTAAAATGAATTTTATGTAAATGTCGGTAATTGTGATCTATTTGTTTTCTTCCTCTTACCTTACCTCTGACAGAGCTAGTTGTTCTCTATACTTCCAGAGTGTTTTAAATGTATTGTTGTAATAGCAGTTGCCATATGGTACTGTAACTATATCTGTAGGTATTTGCCCAACTTTGAGTCTCTGAGGACAGACTTTTATTTACATCTGTACCTGCACAGTGCCTTAAATATAATAAATAATAAATCTTTGTTAAATATGTGAACAACTATAATTATGTTTTTCCTTCTTTACACTACATTAATATATGCTAATCCCTCCTTTCTTTTTGTTCATACTCTGTTTCTATAAATTTTCCCTTCCTTCTAGCTTCTTTTTTTTAAATGGTGATCTCTTCCGTTTTCAATTCCACTCTTCCATCCTTTTGTTTCTTATTTAATGTATTATATTCTGCTGCTGCTGTTATGGAAGCTGTATTAGCCAGGTTTTGAGGATGGGTTTGGCAGATTGTAAGAGGAAAGGAAATTCTGTAGAAGAATCTGTAGAAGAGTAAAGAAGAATTTTGCTTTAAGCTACCAAGTTTGCAAAAATCTATGACTTGTAAAGATTGAATTAGATTTTGGTAATGCTAATTCTTTGGTATTAAATGCAAAACTTTCCTCTGGTCTTTGTCTTTTTTAATTCTTCCAGTCTATTCTGCACTTTGGTTTCTCAAAATATTACAAAAACAGGCACCAGAACCTCTTCCTGCTTATATAACTAATATCCCACCCTTCCTCTAGCCCTGACCCCAAGAGAGTTTGCTGTATGTGGAGCTTACAGTTGTAAATGGTTGTAACCTTTCTTTCTGGTGTACTGGACTCAGAGTCTAGGAGTTACTAAGGGACTAACTTAGGGAACCAAAATATATCAGCTCCAGAAAAATGTCTCAAGACCTTCATTTTATCCTGCAGATACTTGAAATCGCTTCCAAAGCTCCAAGATAGTATCACCCATAGATAGTTTATGCCCGGGATTGATTCATATTGTAGCCATTTATTTCCCTAAAGTAGTAAAAAAGAAAAAAAAAAAAATAGAGAAAGCCTAGAAAGAAGCAGCTGAGTCTGACAGGAGAGTGCAGTATATTCCTAGGTTGAATTTGTCTACTAAATGAATATAGCTAGATATCCAATCTAAATGTCACAACTAGAATGCAGGGACACTAAAAACACTGTATAAAATTGCCTTCATATATACCTGTATATACCTTTATACAGTTTACTGTATAAAATTACCTTCATATATACCTGTATATACCTTTATACAGTAAAAATACTGTATAAAATTGCCTTCATATAAACCTATATATTACCTGATTTAGACTGATTTTCTCAAAACATTTAGACTGATTTTCTTAAAACTTACACTTAATTAGATTTCCTTGTTTCCAGAGTCCATTTTCTTCTGTAAAATAAGGTAGAAGGGGTCTGAGAAGATAAGAGTTAAAGCTGCCTTCATCCTATCTTCACTTCATATTGGCGTTCCAAGCAGTCTGCACAATTTGAGCTCATTTCTGGTGATTGCATTAGTCTCTAATCCTTCCATTCTCTACAGTGTCAGAATTACCCTTTGCACTGGTAAAGAGGCTTCCACTGAGTAAGTCAGGTTGAGTTGATGTAACTCTTCAGTAAAATGGGAATATGAATAGTATCTAGCCTTAACAGTTGTTGTAAGAATTGAGTTAACACATTCTTGTGGGCTTGAACTTCTGATGGTATGTGCAAGATTGTCCCATTGGGCAGCTTGTACCACATGATGAGACTGTCCCATGCTGCCCAACGAGACAGTCAGGTGTGTATCACTAGTACAGAGCCACCTGGCAGCAAGACATATAAATTACAACCCTGTCATGAATGTATTAAGGCAAACCCAACCTATAATACATGCATAAGTTGGTGTTTATACCTTTAACTTTAACACACTTATTATTGTTTTCAGAACAATGTGAGGAGGACTGATATTTGTAATTTCAAGATGAACACAATCATTACCATGACTTTAGTGAAATGAAAGTCACTTTGGGTAGAGAATAAGGCATGCCTCAGATAATGGATCATCCTTTCTTACCTATCCTTTGCAGGCAAGGAGGAGGTTTGTGTTCAGTTTGCTAAGATAGGAAAACATTCTAGAATTGATCATAGCACTCCTCTACCCAGGAGATGTTACATTCTTTGGGTACTTCTCCCTGCTGCCACTTTCTGACTTCAGTTTTTCCCACCTCTTTGCTTTCTGTAGCTATTCCTCCCCTCATCCATCCTCCCTCTTTAATTTCCTTCCCTAGTAGTCAACCCAGGCACTGTTGCCTGGACCTTCTGTTTGTGATGGGTTCATTGCTTTCCATTTTATCAGCTAATCAGTCATGCTAAGTGGTCAGATGTGAATTAGAGAAATTTAATATGACTTTTCTTATTTGTGAGTTTTCTGATTTTTTTTTTTCTTTTTCTCAGTTTCGAGTATTTACAGCTCCCTTCCATAAAGTAGGCTTTGCTGATTTCTGGCTGGCCGATCAGCTGAACAGCCTATCAGTGATACTAATGGACTTGGAATATATGATCTGCTTCTACAGTTTTGAGCTCAAATGGGATGAAAGTAAGGGCCTGTTGCCAAATGATCCAGAAGGTAGGGTATGAATTTGCATTCACATTACTAAGTTGCCAGTATAAACCAGGAAATATTGGAAATATCTGAGAAAGTTAAGGTCATGGTAAAAACTTATCCAGTAATTTTATAGATTAACTAAATATACTTGGCACTGTGTTCTTAAGTCTTTTCATCTGAAATAATTTAACTTTTAAATTGTGCTATGACTTCAGCCAGCCATTTGCTAAGAGATTTATAACATTAAAGAATTCTAAAACTATTTTTTTGAGTTCAGTACATTGGTAGTTATATTGCAGATATTCTAGTGCCAACATTCTCATCACAGTGTTGCTATGGGCAGTGATAGCAAACCTTTGAGAGCTTTCAGTGATAACAAACAGCCAGCTGCAGCACACATGCCATACATTCATCACCACAGCTCTAGTGTTACATGTTTATGGGTGATCTGATTCAGTGCTTGAAGAAAGTCATGATAGACTGCTGTTCAATTCTTACTTGGAAAATAAGAAAAATGAAGATTTTTCTTTTAGTTTTTTTTCCCCACTTTTTTTTTGGCTAGGAGTTCAAATTAATAAGGGATTTTATTTTCATGACAAAAATCTAATTTAAATGGAACAGAAATTAAGGATGAAGTCTGTGTAACAAATTTTCAGTGATTACCGGTGGATCATAATTCTATTATAGATTGATCAGACTATAATGTATAGCTAGAATTCAAAGCAAAATTGACTTTCTAACTTCACTGTTATTTAAGAACATAAAGTCTATTCTTGGTTTTAAAGCAGCAACAAAGGATAGTGGTCATGGTAGCACGTTCCTGTAATCCTAGCAGTCTTAGGAGGCTGAGGCAGGAAGATCATTGCAAGTTTCAGCCCAGCCTGGGCAACTTAGCAAGACCCTGTTTCAGAAGACTAAAAAGGGGCCTGGGAGTGTAGCTCAGTGAAAAGGCCCTGGGTTTGGTCCCCAGAATGGGGGTAGTGTGGGAGGGAAGAGCATGTACTCTTTGGTGTATTATGTTACAGGAGTTTGAAATTGTCAAGAGTCATCTGTGATATTTGTAGATTTTCCAGATATTTCAAATTATAGAACAAAATATCCCCTCCCCCTTTGATTATCATATTCATTTTCCAATTTATTTTATAGTTTTATCATGTTTGTTAAAAATTGCTTCTAGGACAGATACCCAGAAGTCTGAAAAGGCAAATTTTCCCATTAACCACCTTTACAGATTGTACCTTTTGTTCTTGATTTATATACCACTGAAACGCTTGTGAGAATATAATAATCGCAAAGAAGAAAGTGATTCTGAAACCAAGGCCTTCTGCTTCTTGTTGATCGTTGTTCTGTATGGCTAGATGATGTGAACAGACTTTTTCTTATAATTTTTTTCTTCTTTGAAATCTTCACAGAACCAGAAATTTGCCACAAATACTCATATGGTGTGCGAGCCGTTGTTCAGTGCATCCCTGCTTGGCTTCGCTTCATCCAGTGCCTGCGCAGATACCGAGACACAAAAAGGGCCTTTCCTCACTTAGTTAATGCTGGCAAATACTCCACAACTTTCTTCACGGTGACGTTTGCAGCCCTTTACAGCACTCACAAAGGTATTCAGTGATTGACTATGAAGAGATTTTTTTTTAATACCTAGATTGTACTCAAATTGTTTCTCACTGTGATTACTTTCCATTTGCTATACTTTTTTCCCGCTGAAGTTCTAGTCCCCTCAATATGTGTTCTGCAACACAGTTTTAGTCTCATGGCATTATTTATTAGCAAGTGTTGAAAACAACCACAGTCACCCAGATGAGACAGGATTGTGATGTTTGAAATCTTGAATTATGTCTAATGAGCTCAATCTATGGATGCTTTGAGTTTTCATTTGGTGTCTTAGACTTTCGTATTCTTTAATGAGGTTGGGAAGTGGCTAGGTGAAAAAGATTCCCTGTGGAAATCAAGTATATTTTTAATCACTTTTCTTCACCAAGTAGTAAGAATCATTTCCAGCCCATTTAACTGTAAATTGAGTTCTTTCTTCCCTCTAGTTCTTCATCTCCATGGCAACCTGCTATTACTTGCCATTGCTCTTTTGTTGGGAAGAGAAAAAAGCTTTTAAGTTCTGAGCCACATGTAGTCACTCCTTTTGAATTTTTAACCTTTTTCCAAGGACTGTCAATCAACAATCTAGCTTCCTTTTACTAAAGTGTATTCCTCCTTTGTCTAAATCAGTAATGTAGTAGTGTAGCCCACACCTTTCAAGCTGCACTTGCTCATCTGTAGGAGGTAAAGAAGTGTTACTAATTGAAATTATTATAGTTATTTTTAAATACTTGGTAGATGTTTTTCAGTAATTTTTTTTTATTGAGAGACTGTACTTTGGGAGCTTCAGCCAGTGCTACAATACTGCTACTTAGCTGAAGTATATTTGGGGTGAAAATGTAGCTCAGCAGTAGAGTACTTGCCTAGCTTGTGCAAAGCCCTGGGTTTAATTCCCAGCGCCACACAAAATGAATAAAGGAAAAAAATAAAGTATCTTTGATGGTCATGATAGATCAGGCCATTACTTTAGTATGCCTTGGAATGGATGTGGTCCAGCAGATCACATTATAATATATTCCCATCTTTGCAGTAGATTCTGCATTTAGAATGGTATTAATAAATGTAGCCAATAATGTTACCGCTATATAGGCACTCTTGTTAAGTGATATAATTTAACCAACTACCTCAGTGAAGGAAACACATCTCCAAAGCTCCTATAATTTTAACTCTTGCTGAGGAATGCCATCATTCAGTTCCAGCCTGCATCATAAAGAAGAAAGTTATTAGAGAATTTATAAATCAGCAACTGATTTGATACTAAATTATCCAGAACCTGTCACTCTTCTCCCATTTCACTCTTCTCCCATTTCAGGTAAAAAATGAGTACTGTATTTTTGATGGGATATTTTAGAACATAATGTATCTATACCTATATTGATACTATCACTAAGAAGCTGACTGTCTGAATTTCTCAGATCCATGAACACTCGAAATCTAAAAACCAAACCTGGAAAAGCAGTGGTTTAGGTAGCCTTGTGGTCTTTAGACTTTTTTTTTACCCCTTACAAGTATCTTGGATACTTCTACATTTACAGCCAAATTTCTTCTTATTAGTGTATGTTTGCAACACATTACAATTACATTTGTTTTAGGGGATCGGTAAATGGATATTGCATATCTTGATCACTTTTATCCTTTTGTCCCTCCTCTCTACCCTCTCTCCTCTCCCCTAGATTTTTTATCTGATGTTTAAATAATTCCCAAGTATATCATTTCTACACAAATTACAAATAAAGAGCAAAACAAAAGATAATAGGAAATAGATCTTTTGCAAATGGGAGGGAGACTGAGAGGGGAAGGAAAAAGGGAAAGGAGATGAAAAAAGGAATTGAGATGTGTTATGTACCTGTACCAGTTCCCAAGGAGTGAGTTATTATGTCCCGCAAACATGTGCTAATAAAACATAAAGACTGAAAAACATAATTTCTAGTGTATTTTAAAGCAAAACTGCTAAATGTGTGTTACCAGGAAGCTGGGTCCTCACATAGCAAAGAAATGGCCCCTCACTTCCTTGGTCCTGGGTTTTTGTGCTGTTGGAGGAGAATTTAATCAAGACATGTGGACAGTGCAGAAGTATAAGTAGACTTTGTCATTAAGTAGATACAGAGAGAGTTATGCCTTCAAGTGAGAACGGATGGCAGTGCCAGAGACATCTGCATCATTTCAAGTTTGGATACCCTTTTATGCACACAGAACTACTTCTGAGGTTCAGAGAACTGGGATAATTATGATGGTTATTGATATTTTACTTATAAGTTACTTTGGGATTGGGAAGTGTCTTCCTATCCTTTTTTAGATAGTCTGTGTTTTCACAGGCATTTTAATTAGGTAAGAAATACATGAAATATATAAATTCTTTTTTTTTTTTTGGTTTTTCTCTGGTACCGGGAACCGAACTCACGACCTTGCGCTTGCCAGGCAGGTGCTTTTGCCGCTGAGCTAAATCCCCAGCCCCTGAAATATATAAATTCTTAATGTAAACCGTGTTCCAGCTCAAGGCTGGAGGGTCTTTAAAAAAACATTTCCTTTTCTGGTATCACTGGGCTGTAGGCTATGGCAGCCTAGAATGCTGTAGTATCCAGATAGCAAGGTAGCTAAAGGACTATGCACAGTGTATAAACTTAAAATGTCATTGGGCTCTGTGGGATTGCTTTAGGTCTGATTCCTAACAATTGATTATAAATGTATTATAAATTGAAGTCTTTGTTTCTTTACTTAACAGGCAACTCACTAACTGGTAACTGTTTTGGACAAACCCCTCACCCCCACAACTTCCTCCCCTTCTTTCAGGCCAGCTAATGTCTTAACTATGTGCCTAACATTTCTACTAAATATATCCAGGTAATATAAGTAAAAGGCAATTTGATACTCAGAATTTTTGTTTTTTTGAGGTAGGGTCCACTACAGGCTGGCCTTGAACTCACTATGTAGCTCAGGCTGTCCTTAAACTTGATATGATCCTCCTGCCTTAGCCACCAGAATGCTGGAATTACAGATGTGTGCCCCATGCCCAGCTAGCATTTTTTTTAGTGAAGCAATTCTATAATAGAAAATTTATATCTCATTACCATTGAAGTATGTTTTAATGTGATATACTTTTATTTTAGTGTAATATATTTTTATATTTTAATGACCTGTCTGCTACATATATATGTAAATTGAATTTATTTCCTGTCACAAGGTGCAAAGATATTAATGTTTCTGGGTTGAAACTATTACCCTGATTATTATCTACATTTGTTCAAAGCAGCATTACAAATGTATTACAAATTTTAATAATTGTTGCACATAAGTGTTTCTTAATGTGATAAATATGGTATTTCCCTTTTCTAGGTTTTATATGTGTAGAACTTTATGTAGATGAAGAAGGAAGGAGTTTTATTGCTACAATGACTCAGTTTTAACTTGAATCATATGCCCAAAAATTACATGTAGTTTATCATCAAGTTATTTTTAATGAATAAGTTCTCATTATTAAAGAGTTGAAAATAGAGCAAAGAATTGAATATAAACAGAATGAAAAGAATGTAACAATTCATTAGTTATTAGCTATTTGAAATTTCTAGATAGAAGTTGTCTATCATACAGTTACTAATTTTTAATTTTTATTAGTATATGTTTGTAGGACATGACTACATTTGTTGTGGGGAATTGGTACTTGTACCTAACACATCTTAATTCTTTTAATTTCCCCTTCCTTTCCTGACTTTCCCTATGATTATTAATTTTAGAATCTCCTTGTTTAGCCCAACATATTACAAAAGCAAAATTAAAATGCTGTTCATTTAAATACAGTTACCAATGAAATGTTTTTCAGTGAAATGCTTTGATCATATCAGATTCTTTAAATGTATTTTTGAAATGAAGTCATAACTGCATATGACATTTGTCTGATTTATAGAAAATATCTACAGTTTATCTGTAGGAAAGGAAAAACTTTTTCTCTTTCCATTTAAGTTACTGACAAAGATCCTGCAGATTAAATTGACAAAAAGATAGGTTAGCAGAAGAAAGGTTTATTATACATACAGAGATCTTTGTAGAAAAGAAATGAGAATCCGGAGAAGTAGATAGACTCAAGGGCTTATATTCTATTTTTGCAGAGTGATAAATTATTGAAAAATAAGTCAACGAAGGTGTAGTATTGAGTCTGTAGGGACTGTAATTGTGGGAAGTTAAATATACAGGGAAACCAACAGAGAAGAAAAGGGTTACTTAGTAAAGGTTGTTATACAGACTCAAGTGGGTGCCTCCTCCATTGAGAGTCACTCAGGTAACTAAGAGTTGTCCTACTCTTGGTTTGGGAGAGATGACTTTGTAAATAGAAATTTCTTTTAGCTATACAAGTGAAATTTGTTCCCTGATTTTAGACAGAAAGAGAGAAGGCAGAGTGATTTCCTGCATCTGCTGTTTCTCACTTGCCTTCAGCTCAAAATGATCTCTATGCCAGAGTGGAGTAACATACTCTGATCTTCTTCCTACCCTAATTAGGAAAGTAGTCAGCCAGACAGGAAAAGTTTTGACTTCAGATTAACATATTTATGTTCATCTCTGTATAAATACTTTGTTCTCTAATTCTAATTCTGAATAAGGTGGGTGAGTAGGTAGATACAAATAGATGGAGCTGTCATACATTCAGAAAGTATTTACTATAGGACAGCTCTGCACCAGGGTATATTTTCCTAGGCACCAAAAAAAAAAAACATAGCAGCAAACAAAGCCTCTTCCTTCCTCCTCTCTTTTTCTTTGTGTCTCTGTCTCTGTCTGTCTGTCTCTGTCTCTCTCTCTCTGTATCTTGACATTGAACTATATCCTAAGCCCTTTTTATTTTTTATTTTGTGACAGGGTCTTAATTAATCACTAGTTGCCCAGGCGAAGCTCAAACTTTGAATCCTCCTACCCTTACCTCCCAGAGTGTTGGGATTATAGGCATGTGCTAACACATCTGGCTAAAAGATAAATTATGAAGAAAAAAGAATGAGAGATAGTGAGGTGACCTTGTTCACAC